AGAGGAAATTAATGATTAAGACTAACAAATGTGTAACTGATGCAGGTTACCCAGCCTGGAACCAAAGCTGGCTAGAGACTACCAAGAGCAGATAAAGGAAAAGAGAGTTCATATCCCACAGGGACCTTATTCCCACTGTAATCCCTCTCAAGTTATTAGTTCACTCCCAGTTTTTGAAATCCCAAGGTGGTCTAGAAACCCAGGGGGATACTCCCTTGCATGGGCTACATAGGTATGTGTGGTGTCAAAAGGTGTGGTTTTTTCAGCTGTCTTGGTCATAAATAGGGTATTGATTTTGGCCATGTTTGTTAAAATTAGGGTATGGTTTTTGTACTCTAGTCTAGAATTGGGTAGGTTCTTTTGGAAGAAGCTACTTTTTCATCATTGTTGATAAGACCATCAACAAAAGCCCTTCACAAATGATGTTTACTGCAATTTAACATTGGTCTGAACTAGGGAACATATTTTAAGGCAGGCCTGAAAGTATAGGGTATTGATTTAATGGTCAGGTCAGAAATACAGGTAGGGTATCAAATTCTTGGTCAGGTCATAAATAGGGTACTAGGCAAAATCACAGATTTTGGTCATAAATAGAGTAAGGATTTTGGGAAGTCCTGTGTTGGGGAGTTTGCTTATGGTGACAGTCTTTCAACATACTTTCTTTCTACACAAAACAAAACATCTAGCATCACACATGGTAACATTACCTGTGGAAGATCTGGCTACCACATCCTAAATAAAATGTGAGACGGATTACCGTAGGAATAAGGCTTATATGGGGGATTATAAACTCTCTTGACCATGATCTTCTCTCGATTTAGAGCTGTAAATATTATTTACTGTAAACAAGATTGAGGGTGACTACATGTATTATAATTCATCTAATTTATTCAGCAATAGTTTATTTATACCAGCCAATTACATCCAAGACAAACATCAAGTTCAAAGTCAATTAACTAAGTTATTGTGTTATTATAATTCCATTTCCCTGTGAACAGACTCCCTACAGTGTAAGTCTTAGTGGGTTTAAAGCACGTAAAATCAGGAAGCAGGAAATGTACAAGGAGACCAAGGTCTACTGGACTGCAGGTGACTTGCTCTGCTTACTGCCTGTCTGTTTGTTTGTTTGGTTTTTTTGTTTGTGTTTTTGTTTTTGTTTTTGTTTTTTTCATTCGATGCCTCACGAGGAAGCCTGTTTGCAGGCCATTTTTACCTACATGTAACTCATTGAAGCTACCACATTTGAATGTCATACACATGGAGA